ATATATAAATATAACGTCTACATTGATGAAAGCATCGGCTTTCGTGAGGTGTAGATTTATTGGAAGTTAGCATATTGTCAAACTGGTGGGAAATAGGGAAAAATTTTAATTTCGTGCGCTGTAACGTCCTGCTCTTGTTTCTCATTTTTGCCGTAATTCTTTCCAAACCTCTCGAAAAAATTTTTACAGTAGAGGCATTCACTTGAACCAATCATTTACATCAGTGGCTGCGGTTTTTTTTGTACTGACACAGGATTCTATCACCAATCCCCTCTGCCGGAAATCTCTAAAATAAGTACTTTGTACTGTCGACCAGTAGTTTAACAGTTCCCTGTCTCATGTTTCTTTGTCGTAGGGCACGGTTTGGGGGTCGCGAAAGGGCCAGCTCTGCGCTGGCTCACGACGAACGCGACCGCAGGACAGCGTCCGACCTGCGGGGTCTTCCTGACACCGACGAGCTCGCACTCACCGTATCTGCCAAGAGCACCGTTAGTCCCTACATATTACTGATCAACTTAATCACTCACTAGTATGAGATAACGTCTTTCGCATATGGTAGCCTTGGGTCAATCAATTTAAAACATAAGACGATTCTCTATCTACGCGAAGGTAACTTATTGCGTGGTCGTAATATATGCCAAGGCAACTTATCGTTACCTTTGCCTTTATTATTATCAATATTATATTATTACCATTATTTTATGGAAGCTGCGTGTTCGAATCCGTTAATCTTCTTCTAATTATTCATCTAAAGATCATGGACGATATGGATAGATCGTGTGAGTTCCGAGAGAAAATCTGCATGGCCGATCGCAGTTCGGCATTCGAACGAAGGGCGTACCAACGTGACACTATAGATGACCGTGCACTTCTCGATAGGGGCACTGACCCTGAAACTGACGCGTTGTTGGATGCTGCCTTGGCCCCGCTACAGGATTTCAGAGCCACCACATCTCAGGGGCTTCTTCGACCACAGACGCGCGACGATTTGGACGTGCGGCTGGAGTCCCGTCCCAAGGGTTAGTACCGATAAACCAAACTGATTAGTTCACATTTAGATTCCTTATCTAAATGTAAATCTACTTGAATTCTTTTTGCACAATGGCCATAGTGAGCAACAAGGTAGTGTATATGGAAAAACATTTACTTATGCCACCATATTTCGTATCAACGCATTTCCTATCCTCTATTTTTATTACGTTGTTCAATTCTTCTCTTTTACTGCTACTACACACGCTATAAGAGACGAAGCACTAAATTGGCTGAGTGACTGAATACGATCGAAATTTCAGATGTTGGGCGCATCCTCCGACGGGGCACCTCTTTAGAATACAAAGACTGTAAGGACTATAGCAAGACAGACGAGGATCGACTCCTGAGCAAAATTGAGCAGGATAACCGTCTTCTCGAAGAATTAGACCGTGCGAAACCGCGTTCATCAAGTATGCTTAAATAGATTTTTTTGCATGTAACATAATTTACTTATAAACTGAGAATAATGTCTACTCTGGGTGTTGGTGTTTTCGAACATTTCCCAGACTTTGATACATAGCAGTTTTTTCATTCCGTTCAATAATACATATTATGCCTGTTGGACTTTATTGGAGAATAAATATTTTTTCTTCAATCATAAAGTTTTACTTCAAAGGAAACTGATTAGGCAATCAGAGTTCATGGTGGTAAAAGAATGAAACGTTTTACACAGATCGTCCCCTCTAACGGTCAGGCTAAGCCGATCCAGAAGAAATTGCCATCTGCCTTGAGCAGGATTTCGGTAGTTTTTCTGCTTTCGTTAGTCTATATCTTTTGTGACATGTTCTAAATTTACAGCTATATTTAAATAAAATAAAAAAAAACAATGATTTTATACTTTAGGCTTATATACGGATGTACTGAGACCATTATCAAACTATAAGCCTTTTCTATTTAGTTCTTCCATTTGTGGTAGCTTGCCGTTTGGTGTCAGCTCCCTCCGTGCCAGTCGTCGGATGCGAATTTCGTAGAAAGCTATTCATATATCGTCAGCCACATTATTTCAAACGATTACAAGATATTAGCGTCTGCCTGATCATCACGTAAAAAACGTTTTCTTCAAAACTCTTCGTTGAAGCTGAACTTCGAATAGAACTTACATGCGATTAACCGAGATAGGATTAACTATAACAACATGGAATAACACCTTATGTAAGCATTATCGTTCGGCAGAGTCGAAGGCAAACCTAAATTTCTTTCACACAGAACTACAGCCTCTCATTAATAAGATAAATCCCAGTAAATATCTATTGCCGGCTCAGCTGTAAGATTGTATGTATCTTGAGTGAGGTTCAAGCATAGGCTGCACGGTCATTTACACAGGGTCTGGGTTAAACTCACGTTTGGCCAAATTAAATCAGATCTAAAGCTGCGGCTTTAGGAAATGAATTTGTCCACAGGCACGCTTCGGAAATTTTTAATTCCAGTTGCCAATCACAAATTAGTCCATTACGAAGAAGATGGGTTGAACGAAAAAGGCAGCTGCTGATTGGGTAGTTTTCTCAGTAACTTGAAAAAAAGGTCCCTTTAATGTCGACAAGTTACGTGGCGACGAAAAAATGGGTACGCTACTTGCTCACAGCTCGTCGCGTTTTTTGCGGCACGTCTTGTTGTATTGCTCTGCTTTTGATCCTTGATTTTAGACAAAATATCTCACAGTCTCGAACGAATCCCTTCGGCGCGCTCCCGCCGCCTGTTACCAAATATTTCCCGCGAACAGCGCCGCCGCTCCATGTCAGAGCACCATCTGATTCCGGACGGGCTTGGGTATGACCATCCAGTTGAGCGCCCGATCGGCTCAGACTCAATGGGCCTGAGCGGAACGTCAGCATCAGCCAAGGATCGAGCCGTAGGCCAAGCCAGTTCTGCGCATGGAGCGGCGGCAGCGATGGCGACTCCTTCTGTAACTAGTCAGGTCGGGGGCATAGTAGGCCCTTCGTCCTCCACAAGAGCTGCAGGAACGCTCCGCGGGGACGTGGTGACGCTCGCAGAGCAAGGTGCCTTGACTGTCGGATCTGGCCAGATGATCAGCTCTGCCGGAGTTGTTGAAACCGGGCAACAGGCCCAGGTGATCCACAGGCCTCGGGCCGTCAAAAGTAAGGGCGCAAGCGTGTTTCGTCTTCTACTATCAACCGAAAAAAATAAAGTCAAACAAAGATAATGATTCACTCGCTCGAATGCCCGTTGACACACCGCTGAATGGTGCTCGTGAAACTGATGATGGTAATGATGAGGAATGGACGCTGTTCATGCAGGCATGTTCTCGCAAATGCAGTAATCGCAGTGATTGATCTATGCGTGAAAAGAAGTCGAACAAACTGATAAACGAGGCCGGTATCAGCAGGTAATAAATATGTAATAAACACAAAAACAGCAACAACAACATAAGCCGCTCATGCTTGTATTATTCTAAACAAAAATGGGGCGATGACTGTAATTTTAGGGTTAATAATAAACGGTGGCTGGCTGGCTGGCTGGCTCACTCGCTTCCATGGTACAGTGGTGCGTTTAATGTGGGTTGAATACTCATTTTTGCTCTCTGCTGTTTGAATGATATGGGAGTTCTACTCTGGATTGAAATCGTTAACCCACGCTTTTCCACGCACGCGTTTAGGTACACTCAAAGCAACACCTCTACAACCGATTAGCGCAAAGGATTAATTAGGACAGCATTGGTTAATGACACATGCTGGCGCGCTTGCCCTTTTCCTGCCCCACACATATCCGAATTGCCATGAACGGGGTTCCGTTAGAATCCAGTAGCAGCGCCTTACCGCGAGTTGTACCCGTTTGCTAATGTGATGGACACTTGGACGATGTTGAACCTAACGACTGATGATGCTACTTTGTGCTGACTGATGGATATATCGAGAGTTTTATTGCTAAGCTCTATAGCAGCAAGCCAACTATTCATTGATTGCTATGGTTCTATATATATTGTGGCACATTCGTACCGAAATTGATTGTTAATGATGGATGCCAATGCTACTCTCAGGAATGATGAGTCTTGTTTGACACCATATTACGCATTATTGAATGATGTAGCTAGCTGGAAATGCTCAAGGGCGATGACGAACCGTGCTTCCCTAAAGGGGCAGCTAAATAAAATATCTGTATTGATCTTTTATCTCCTGTTCTTGTTTCCAACGAAGATCAACTGCTCGATTGTGTTAGTGATGACTTACTCCTCTGATCTGGTTGATTCACTTTGAGACGACTGCGATTTGTATGTGTGTGCGCGTGTCTGTTCAGTTAGCTAAACAATTCTGCGTATGCCCCTATTGCGTTTTTGCATTTATCTCAGAAGCGATAGCACATGCTTGCAGTGTAACGAGAAACAGAACTCTGACATTGTTGGGGTGATGAGGTCCTCAAAATTGTCATCTCATTAATAGAATGCTATATGTTTTAGAGATAAATGCAAAAAAAAGTTCTTAGAAGAAGACAAAGAGCTTAGCCGACTTTTATAACCGTCAATGCATGCTCTCTTACAGAAACCAACTGATTTGAAAGGACCGTTACACAAGACCGTTGAAAAGTAGCTTAATCCTGTGAGAAACTTAACTATGCCTAGTTTTGTTTCCGCTTCCTATAGCTTTATTTGTAGAATAACGTGTATTTTACTAGATAATGGGGGGGAAAAAACCCAGTGATAGTAATTGTAAAGGGCGTTTAACTCGAACTAAAACCCGGCCGAGCTTACCATACTTCAGTCTTTTGCTGATAATGTTTAATCAATGTTTGGCCTCTTTCCCTTTTTTATCCTAAAGTACACCCCATTCTGTCAAAAAGACCAAGACCGAATCAGAATAAAGTAACCGGGAGGCTATCATTTGAAACCTTGGGCTTTCTCTTTTAGAAACGATAAATTTTGGCCACCCAGTATGTATAATATGAAGAAGAATAACTACATTCAAACGTGACGGACAAAATCTGTAGTCAAAAGAGACTCTGACGTGATTTCCCGTCACATTTCACTTATTCGGCCGTGGCTGTGGGCATTTTTTTCCCCACCTACATTCGTATCAAACGAATCATTTCGTTTCCATTTCGAGAATCGTTCCCTCACTAAAAGCATTGCAATACCGCAAGGGTAGCTCAAGCGACGTTTATAACCAGGAGCATGATGATTTTCTACGGAATGACATTCTATTACTTGCAATATATGGAGGATATGATGGTTTCAACAACGATTTCGCCGTGTGTGACTTATCTGGCCGTTATTTTTTTACCATATCTCGACTAAATCGAACAGCGCAACGAACAGACCCATTATGCACCGAGTTGTTTATCACTCGTCAGCGTAATACTCTGATGTCCAATGAAGTTGTTCCGATCAATAAATTATCCTCTATGGCAACGGTCAGAAAAAAATTCCGTCTCTCAGATAACGACATCCAGATTCATAGAGAACTGTGATGAGAACGCAGATACTGCAAGCGCCTGCTGATAACTTCTTTGTCAAGACGACCGCCACAAATTTGGCGTTTCTCGACGTTTTTTCTCCTATCTCCTCTTTCCTGTACCGGAAGCGGGGTGGATATACAGACGAAGAGCTTAGCGTTGTAAAACTCGACGCGTAGGCTCATCAACTATAACGATGGAAACGGAAAAGGCTCGCAACAATACTCGAATGCTAATGTGACTTTTGCTACGGCGAAAAAGCCAGCTGGGTAAATTTAGACTCAGCTGCCAGTGCACTTCTAAAAGGAGTGTGCATCTAAATATATAGATCATTTGCAGCCGTCACTGAAAAACCGACCGCTGAGCTTTTTTTATGTGGCAGGTTTAAATAAGGAATTGTTATTCTCATACTTCAAACTAAATGTTTCAGAAAGTGAAGATTTCTATACTCAAACTAGCTAACTATCAACTGTTACCTAGGCTTCAAGCACTACGTCCTGTATTGCATTCTATTTGACGAGTGGCTTCCAGCACGAAACGAAGTCAATGCGTCTGCCGGTCCATGCCCGCGTTCAGACCTACACTAAAACGTGTCCCTGAGACTAACACGTTACCCAATAAGCTATCACGGACACGTTACTTAAGTCTCGACAATGAACTGATAGGCCTCTTACTTCACTTCGAAATTCTGTGGTTTCCGAATTTCTTCAGTTTGATTGATGCGCAAGAGCAAAAGTTTCAATGGAAACACGGTTTCTGGCAAGTATTTATAACCACCTATGCCACGCGCTGTACAGTTTCAGCAACAATAGTCAGTGATGATTCGGTTAGATTGTAGGCGAGTCATTCATTTAATGAATGACTCACGAAGTCTACGCGTCGTGTGCGAATTGAGCTTGAGTAAGTCAGCGAACGAGACTGGCATGTTATTATTGATACGATCAATGGAACACATACAACATCTTCAGGTCAGATCGCGCGTTAGTCTTCCTACGTATCCTCCCGACCCTGCCTGATACGATTCTGAGCGGTTCGTATTCCTCATTGGCAAGACTGAATAGATTGACTGATTGATCGATTATGAACTAACTTAAATTTGGACATCTTATATGCTATAATGATGCCGAGTCGTTATGTAGGATAGAAGCTGAGCATCACCTTAATGAGTATGGTTGCTTGATTAATTCACGTAGTCAAACTGCTACCTGTGTACCATTATGTGTCATAATTTATCGGTATATATACATAGAGATTTAAAAAAAAAATGGCTAGAAATCGATAACCGCGGCAAACATGGGAATGACTTTATATTTGCATTGGATTGGTACGGTACCGAAGTGATGGAGCCAGTGAAGTAATGAGTCATATGAGCTTGATTGTTCACGAACGCAGCTCCCAACTCCCCAATACCTGATCGAAAAGACAACGTTCTGTCTTCCCCTAAATCAATACGTAACCAATTTTGCCTGATTTAATTTCCGATTGATTGAATTAGCAACAGATCTGCGGAAGATACGTATATCTCACCATATGTCTGATAATTGCTTGCCGTGCTGCTCGAGTAGTAATAACATCGGTAGTGCGAGCGCCGTCAGCAAAGGGCGCTCAGTGAGGAGGCTTTACTAGCATCTTTCGATTAGACGACTGTTAATTGCTCAGTGATCTTCTTAGCGAATGGGAACTTGTGTTGATATTTGTGTGGGTGTGTATGTTAGGGTCTGCGCGAGCTTGAGATTGGACTGCGCTCTAAGGGTTCGCGGACTGAGGGCTCCTTCTTCTGGCTAGAAGGAGCAAGATCTCAGCATGCTTGAAACAGGAAACAAAGCAACGTTGTCATGATTGATAAGCAAATGGTGAATCAGGATAGGCGATTGATGGTTGCTATGTGAATCTGATGATGATAATGATGAGTTAACGAAACTTCTCACCTCACCATGCCAGCACCGGCCACTTTCCGTCGTGCATTCTGCCGTTGCACCCGCCTCGTCTAACCCGCTCGCCGGCTCGCTTGCTTACGATACCCAATCCAATTTTACAGAAGCCCCTCAACCACAGCCGACGGTTGGCCAGGCACCTGCCGGCAACGCCCCACATACAGTTTCCAGCCAGGAGCTGGAGGGTCTGATGAAGAAACTCGAGCAAGACAACAAAGTACTCGCCGAGCTAGATCGGAAACGCCTCGAGAAAGAGGCCCTACAAACTCAACAGCAGCAGCAGCAGCAGCAATCCTGTATCTGCGGACACATAGATACAGTACAGTCTGGCAATTCGGCACCACTTTGTTGTCAGAATGCCGGACAAGGTAGGTTCTTTCTTGTGCGCGGGACGACTCAATCGATTGCTAGGACCACACATTTCTTACTAAAACAAACTATCTTGCGCCTGAATTGCAATTCTACGCAGCTGGTTTTCGATAAAATGACAATTTTTTACAAGCCTGGTGAAGTAGGCGCATCACTATGAGTACCCTGATGGACGCAATACATAGTAACTGATTCAGCTTGACTAACCTGTAAATGGCACAATGTATTTTTCTTCCTGTTAGTTTAATAGCTGTAGTTTAGGTTTCGTCCTAACGCTTATAATACTACCGATTTGAAACATTTTTATACCGCAACATATGCCAATAAAGCGAGTTCACTTCATATATTAACGATAGTCTGCTGATGAATATGCGCTTTAAAAAATAGGATTTTAAAAATACTCGCAGACCGATAACGCCGATGGTACCGCCAAGCGTGTTAATAACAATAATTATATCGATGAATTAATGTTATTATAAACTTTTCATGCGGGTGAAGGTAATGCCCCTAAGCTGTCTAAAAAGTCCTTAAATCACTAAGCAAATAAAATACTAATACAAATACAAACGTGCTTGTTCTTTCTACTAACGACACGTGGCGGCAATGGCACACGCGTTGACGTGTTTGGCAACGTGAACAGCGACAACAGTCACGCTGGTGACACCGGCGCCCGGCACTTGTCCGCACGTTCAGCTTATCCAACCTGGGACTTCAGGCACACCCGGCTTAACCTGTTGCGCGGCGCACGGCAAGCCCGTGGCATTACCATTAGCGCCGCCAGCATTATGCACAGCTATGTCTAACCTACCGAGCGTGCCAGGCACCGGCATAGGCGGGACGCGCTGCGTCAGCACAGGTGTTAATTGTGCCACGTCCGCAGTGACCCCTGCAGGTACACTGCGGACTCAAACGCCACTTGGCCTACAGAACAAGCTCGTGCAGCACCCGAGCTCGTATCAGCACGCAATTGCTACGCCGGACACAGTCATCACTTCGTATAGTGCCATGTCACAGAAAGATTTTTACGGTGAGTGACTGATGGCGTTTGGTTGTTGAGTGATTCACTTCTTGAGAGAGCTGAACAGCATGTTTATCCGATAAGACGGTGAGGGATATGTACGTATCCCCCACCGTTTTATTCGAAGCTATGTATATCTATCGACCTTCTTCTAGCCTAGCTGTTCTAGTCTCAGTCAGAATATGCATTATTACTACCCGTGGCATTCTGCTGGAGAAGTCTGAGGTGCACGAATCACCAAATCTCTAAAAGGCAATTTTGGTATCATGTTAAGCCTTGTCTATTAAAAAATTCTCAAGACTAACAAGAATAGTAATCTGTTGGAGTAACGTCTGTTGAGTAACGGTGATGACAGAAAGTTTCCCATTGTAGTTCCTCTATTTGATTTTTCCGCTGCGACGTTGGACGTTGCTGTCCGACGTCAGCTTTCTTCTCTACTGATGAGTAATATGGAGTCTGTTCATCATACTCTTCAGTTACTTGCAGTACACATTAGCCGTAATTGCCTACAGGACTCATAATGTAGCTAGTGCTATAATGCAATTGTAGTAATCAACGCCCACATTAGAATACCAAATAGACAGCATAAAGCGCATCAATCCACTGATACGACAGGCTGCAAATATCATGCGACACGAAAATTGGTCACTGTTGTACCGTGATAATAAAGAGAAGTTAACGTTTCTACGTCTCCGCTTTTGATTCTGGCTGGAATCATGCAGGACCTGCTTGTCCTGCTGTTTTTTGCCTTATTTAACTAAGAAAGGCGAGTATAGCGTTTTTACATGACCGTAGTGCTAACATTTAGGCGCTCTCAAACTCGTTTGTGAGTATTTTTTTAAAGTCAACGATGCTTCCAGTAGTACATGCTTTCTCAAGCACAAGGGCTATGCAATCGCTATTGTGGCTTCAAGAGTATAGAATACAGCAGCCACAGATGATTTCGAGAAAAACAAGTAGTGTCGTTAAAAAGATAAAGTCACTTTGAAATATAGAATAAACGCTCCTGTCATTTCATACTGGACGACCTTATATAAATTTTGATGGCATGTTTGACATGACAAGTATTTATCGATCCATGACCCTTGGTACAAGACGAAAGCCAATTCCTTCCTGAATAAAGCCCGGAATTTGAGTACAGGTCAGCTGCGATCCAATCTTTTCGGGTTGAGGATCGAAAACTTTTTTCCGGTGAAAATAGATGGTCTACATTATTACCAGGTTTTGCACAGATTTTGAAAAATCCAAGGAAGACTTTTGCTGAGGAAATCGAAAGATTTTAGCCGATTTTATCCAAAATTTTTTTACTGAAAATTTATCCAAATGGCGCAAAATCCATTCATGCGTTCTTTCTGTTACGGAAGTTAACAGCCGTTTTAAAGAGTAGAATGTCTATCGCCAACTAGATCACCTAGTTCGATTTCTTGGCTTTGTGCCTTTTTGTACCTTCTAAACTTTTTGAGCGTTTGCATCTTTGGAATTTTCGGCCTGCTATCAGCACTACGTTGGGTTTCGGTTGCAATTTCTTGTGTACATGTAGGGTATTTAAGCGACACTTGAACGAATTTACACCCACCAATGTGGCTTGATGTTCGACTGCTGTACAGAAATGGTTTTGGATTAAAAAGAGAATATATTAAAAATGATTGTTGAGTCGTTTAGTTAGGTTATGAATTGCGGTAGATGGTAGTTATATTCTTTCAACAATGACACTTCTAGTGTACGTAGAACATTTGGTTAAGGTCATTGTTGTTGCTTGAATGCCGTCTTATATACAGAGCAAAAAATTCTCTGTTTAGATGCTGTATATTCAATACGATGAAAGCAAGCAAAATAGATAAACTGGTGCGTATATTCTATAAAAATAGCAGAAAAGACAATCGGATTGTGAATGCGTTTTACCTATGCATGTATATATACGCTCATAAATGTTTTTTCGTTTTGTGAATTTTTGCATTTGTAGACGATTTAGGGGTAGAGTCTGTGGATTATGTAGAAATTCCCGGCAGAGGGCGCTGTCGAGTTTATTTAGCACGCTATAGCTACGATCCATTGAAACAGTCACCAAATGAAAATCCGGAAGCAGAACTAGCGCTCTCTGCTGGCGAGTATGTGCTCATATTTGGCGAAATCGATGAGGATGGCTTCTATAACGGAGAGCTTCTCGATGGCCAGAGGGGCCTCGTGCCGTCTAATTTCATCGAAAAACTTACAGGTGAAGTAATGCTTTCTTCTTATTGTATAACAAAATTCAAGTAATTTGTCTCATTATCAGTGAATGCTGAAACGGTACAATTCCATCTCGACAACATGATTGTATAGAGCCAATCTGTGAGCTTATATCGTATAGTGGATGTTTCACTCGGTCCTCTTGTCTCAGTTTTGGTTAGCTTTGATGGTACACTTAGCAGATCTTCGCCGTGAGCCACACCCGCGTATTTCACCACCTATTTTCATGATAGCCATTTGATTATGGCAAGCGAGAGTAAGTAGATCAGTAAACTGGTGCTGAAGCCGTTTTCGGGGATACGATGTCGCCCCCCGATAATGTGACCCACGTCGCAAAGTTGGACTTGACAATGTTCACTGCTGAAGGAAGAACAAAATTACTTAAGATTAAGACGAATCGGCTGTTTTTAAGATTTCGACAATAAATTTAAAATATAGGGAACGTACACTGAACCCGAACACCTGTCAATAAGCTTAAGAATAGACCGCTTGTCGTTTGGGGGCAAAATAAAATGCGTCGATTCCAAAAATATGTTAGACAGAGCAACTATATGACGAAAATGGTTTGTACTGAATTACGTTATGTAAGGGAAGACTGTTTTGAGGGGAAGCTGCTCGACCCTAAAGCCTTTTCCGGAAAAATATAGGATATACCTACATCGTCAAGTATTTCAAGTGACCGCACATGTCTCAAAAAATGACATAGGCAAAAGGCAAATTTTGTATTTGACGCTGTGTTCTAGTACATTTGCTAAGGATATGTGCAATCATAAGGATTTATAGGGACTCGAAAAGGTCCAGCGTTTACATACAATACATTATCTTGGGAAAAAAAATTGCCATAGCAACACCCCAAGCATTGGGGCCAAAGTGGAAAATATCACGCCATTTGTGAGCGTGATATTTTCGTGAATAGGCGTTAGTTGACAACAAAGCTCAATGACATTTTCAGGCATCTCGTTCTACACCGGTGGTAGTAAATGGAGTAGGTATAAAATGACGTTATCTAGATACAACAAACAAATAAGCTGGTCGATCTTTTCAATACGGTATTTTCGGCATATTCGGAGTAATCGAGTTCTAGACGCAGACATCAAGTAGGGCTAATGCGAGTAGGCTTTAGCCTAGAGCGAAATAAAGTATACATGTGGTACATAATGCACAAGTGACGAGCAAACAATTAGCAGCTCTATATATATATATATATGACAGATATAGTGAACTATCAATTGAACGACAGAAAAAAAAACGGCAACTCGACCAGTGGCTGATATTATGGAACTAATATATTATGGAACTTCTTATTTAATTTGAATCCAATTCGAAGTGATGATGATGATGATGAATGATTTTTTTATTCGATTGATAAAAATGGTAGCTTTTATAAATGCATTCATCTAATACAAGTCGTTTTTCTCATAGGGGAAGACCTGTTCCAGTTTCAGACTACAGTTTTGTATTGTTATCGCGACTCAGACGAAAGTAGCGTGGCCGGAACCACGTATATGACCCCAGATGAGGGACAATACGTTGTCGATCCTCCAGTTAGGATCGCACCAGAAGATTACCACCGAATGAATGGTTACATCGGTAATATAATAAATGTTCAATTCTCAAAAGTCATTATATAACAATAGAGTTATATTAATTAACTAAATATGTCTATTTTTACAACTTCAGTCCTCCTGAAAATTAATTATTTTCCTTTATTACGTTAGTTTCGGTATTCTATTGCAACTGTACGGTTAATTAAATTCGATTCACGTAAATCCGTCCGTCTACTCGGGGATTATTCGACCCTTTCGTTAAAATATTGTTTTAGTTTAGCGCAAGTTACCTTTTTGCAGTTAAAGTATTCCCCCCCGGTTATATATCGCCATAGTAAACCAATCATAGAAATCACTATTTACCTCTCGATTGCAAAAAATGTTAAGATTTTTATTTTGAAAACCTACAAACGTTTCAGATATTCTCAGCGGCTACTGAACAAATCGCTCGAGGGGTTAAACGTACCCGAATTCTATGATAAATTAGCTCCTGAACAAAATTTTCAGTTAATCGCCTATTTTGAATGTGTAGAAGCCCTTCGAATAAAACTCTACGAGACCTGATTCAGGACAGAAGGACTGTGCCTACGTGTCATTAGATATTAAGTAGATAATGGCAGAGAATCGTAAACCGCACGCAAATATTGGTTCAACACGATTTCGATCCTCTTCTTATTACAGCAAATTATTGTCATTAATATAGAATAGCTAAAACACGTAAAGCGTATTGCTGGAAGCCGAATTTCAGTGGCCAAAGTTAACAAAAATTAATCTTGCCGTCTAGATGCTCTGATGTGGCGTATATACAAACCTTTCTCCTACGCATCAGGACATCGAAATGGCAAGATGAATTTTGGTTAATTCTAACCACTGAAATTTGTTTTCAAGCAAACGCTTCACTGAAATACTTTTGCCTCGAAAGACCCTATATGAATATACATAAATTTTCATTATTTTCTCGGTGGTCGAAAATTGTCGCGTATTTCTTCGTTTTTACAGCCCAAATTTGTTGCTTTTTGTAGACATGGAGGAAGACGACGAGCCTGGCGGTGATGAGGAAAGTTTTACAGAAATGGACGGAGCGCTGCCACACTACCCGAGCGGTAGGCTCAAACCCCAATTTGTAGTGCCGGCGCCGCAGCGCCTCGTGTTGGAACGCCAGCTGAACAAGAGCATCCTGATTGGCTGGCTACCCCCGGACGTGGTGCTCGGCTCCTTAGAGAGCTATCAGGTAAGTAGAAAATTAGCTGATCTGAAGTGCCAGAACCTTCATCAAACGACTGTGTGTATTGCACTTAAGCGGAACGAGTTTTTAAAACATACCGTACTTCGTCGGTTAGTGTGCGTGCAGTTTTCATGTCGCGCATCTCAATCCGCTTTCTTTTTCATCCGTTCTATTCCAACTGTTCGATAGGTGTACGTAGATGGCGAGCTGCGCGCGGTCATCCGTGCTGGCGAACGCACTCGTGCCCTCGTAGAGAGCGTAGACTCCTCTATACCGCACCGTGTGTCGGTGCGATCCGTGCTGGTCAGTGGACATCACTCCAGGGACGCGGCATGCACAATTGTTATTGGCAAGAACATCCCGCTGGCGCCAAGCTTCGTCAAGGCCGCTAGCATAACCTCTACATCGGCCTTAATTCGCTGGATACCGTCGAACTCGAATTTCCAGCACGTCGTTGCCGTCAACAACGTCGACCTCAAACTGGTGAAACCGGGAGTGTACCGTTATTCAATTACAGGTTTATCGCCGAATACCGTCTATCGGGTATCGGTACGGGCGCGGCCGGGTAAACTGCTTGTGCAGAACACCAAGAAATCCTCGCTGGTTTGTTCGGTTGAATTTCGCACATTGGCCAAAGGCATACCCGACCCCCCAGTGGATATACGTGTCGAGCCCGGGCCGCAAGACGGTACGATCCTCGTAACCTGGTTACCGGTTCAGCAAACCAATAATCGTATGTATTATGATCATCATCCATATATATATACATATTGCATATTGTGTTATGCCTCAAGTGAGAAAGTCATACCAAATATGCTATATGTTTTTAGTTAGAGTTGCAATGATGATAACAATAATAATAATACTAAAATGATAACACACATTCGACCTTCGCTCTGTACTGCTATCTAGATGCTTTCTTTTGTATTTGTATTCCATGTATGGTATAAGAATCTTTTTGCTAATATATGTTTGTCGTTACACGATTCCCATCAACTAGCGGACCAACCTGGGTTGCCTGTAAGCGGCTATGCAGTTTTCGCATCTGGCCGTATGGTGACCCAGATTGACAGCCCTTCAGGTGATCACGCTTTATTATCCCTTACCCATCTGCTCAATTCGCGCACGATCACTGTGCGTACGAAGGCTGATACACTGTTGTCGGCTGACTCGCTTCCGTGTCATATACCTGAGCACGTCCTTAAGGGCAAGCGGCTCCCGCCTAGAGTAAGTACTATGCAATATTGCTTACAATGCTTGTATGTAGAACAGAGAAGGCTAGCTCGTCATATCGTCTACTTCAATAGAGACCTTTGTGCCTTGTATGCAGTAAGTAGCCTATTCTTGTTTTTGTCCTTAATGTTAGGTAGCAATAACGTTGTTATAAAAATAGTTGTTGTCCAACTCCGAGCAGTACATTGGACTATACTCAGATCCATGAATTTTCGAAATGTTTGCTATCTGGTGGTTCAGTACCTTTTTAGAAACTAGGGAAACAAAAAGTCATAGAAAATTCGATAGAGGGGTGTATTTTGTTCCCCAGACAATCCTATAAAAAGACCTTAAATTACGCCAACTGAAAAATGTTTTCTTTTTTTCTCTTTCATTTGTTGCTCGATCCTGACTTATGATTTATAGCAAAAATAGATCAAACTCGTAAAGGAAACGCAAAATATCGTCATAGAATTATATAGTTATTACTGCGTACCGTTAGTAGAGGAAGAGCATTTTCGCTTGAAAATTCTTCAGAGGACTACTCCTGGATAGCGGATCCAGTACTGCAATAAATCAATTGCATTTTAATACGCCCTAGCGCACATAGCGTCCTAAAGATAAATGCGGCAAACACATTGCTTTGACTATACGAAAAAAAGTGGCGCAAATCCAGCTGGGCTTCTTTGAAGTAGGCCCTAATCATCATTTTTGCTCGCAGTGATCCAAATTTTAGATAATGGCATCGGGTTGAAGAAATTCTGATTTGAAGTACGTTGTGCACTGCAATTTATAGCATATTACAAATGATCCTCATCAAGATCGACTTTTATTATTACTTAGCCATTATCAATTCTTTTTGGGAATTCTGCAAACTTCGAATCAATTCCTCCTGTGCAGTCTCTAGGATGTTGTCGAAAAGACCATTATCGGGCTCCAACAGCAGTGGCCACACCAACAGCATCCGGACGAGCTGTGCCCCTGCGGAGAGCCGACTGTAGAACTTCATTCGATCCATACCTCGACTCAGAGACAGAACTCGCAGCGCTGCTTTGTCAGGTGTCTTTGAAGGAACTGGGTCGAGTGATCGAAGTTTCTCAAAGAGCTCACAATACGGTTTGCCATTTAGCATCGGTGTTAGTAGCACTCCCTTTATGCTTGTTTGTCCTTACGTGCATAATGTATTCACATGGGTTAACATTTATTGAAACTTATCTAAGGTTAAAATTTATTGTAACTTGGCTGTTGGAATGTCGTAAGTAAGTCTGATAACTTTCCAAGGGGGAAACTCATAAAGGGCCCGCAAGTATCAAGGGTAGGTTCTAAACACGACATGCCAAGAACTAATGCGCACGACAAATTTCTTTATCAGTTATTTTTTGTTTGTGATGTTGGATTATACCGAGTTTATTCAAGAAGGTTTCAACCGTCATACGCTATAGAACTAAATGTAAGACCTATCAGGACGTTTATTAATCGAATCACTCACAAGTCAATGTCGAGAATTTTTTGGGGAGAAGTTAGTCACTCGTGCTTCAAGAGTATAGCAAAGAAACTAACTTTAATTTCAAACTTAAGAAAAAGCGGACGTTCTGTGAATGGCTCTAGGTCCAGATATCTTGTCAGCCTTCACCGACGCTTGCGTCCGTCCATGGCTTTGTATTGACCTTGAGTGAATTTGTTTACGATGTTGAATCAAGCTTATGCACGTAAGCGTCACTTGTGGCGTCAAAAATATATCTATATCAATTGTAGTACGAAATGTGCTAGCGTGTTTGATGGCATAGAAGAGTCAAGTGACTATATATAGTAGACTTTGAATGAATTGTAATTTAGTTTTGGATGTATGTTATACTATTCACGCTTAAAATGTGTATATATATCGTTATATATGTCTTGTCCTGCAAGAAGATGTTCCGAAACGCCAAGCCCGTGCGAACACGAAAACCAATGCAAATGTATTACATACATGTCCCATATATTCACATACACAGCGATGATTGACTAGCTCACTCCTGCTGCCGACTGCCGAATTTTTTTTTTTGCACTAAACAAAGCAGTACCCACTTTTGTGCGTTTTATGCACGGAAACAAAATAGCGAAGCAACGAGGTTGGACGTAGCATAAATGCTACTCACTTTTTGTAATGTTTTTTTTTTCTATGGGCCCGATCATTAAAAGTGGAGTGTTTTAGCCTCAAAAGGAGATCCAGGTAGTTTTAGCGTTCGCCTGCGTGCCACAGTGGAGCTCACGAAACCATAGTATTATTCATACCTTAGACACGCACGCGTGTGAAATACTGTGCAAAGAAGAATCAATATTGACGTCCTTGCAGGAACAGCAGATGTTGCGCATGGACGAATCGTATTCAGAGTCGGACGTGGTGGATGAGTATGGACGCCGCATTAATGGAACAGGACCCGTCGGCGTCGGTGTACCTGGCCGAAGGTTAGTTGGGCCCCAGGGCCGGCTGCAGCAAACAACGGGCTATGGTGCCTCACCCCCGCAAGTGGCCGTGCGGTTAGGGCCGCACGGACCCAAACGGAACTCTGCGGGTCAACTTGTGCTCGAGCCGGAAGAGTGCCTCTCGGACAAAGAAATCTACCCCCAGGTAGAAAAAGATTTCCTTTTATATTTAAGAGCATGTCTATTTCTTATCGATAAGAGTAACCTACTAAACTTAACGTAAGGTTATGAATAACTTATGAACTAACAATCTTCCATATGGAAATGTCCATTTGTATATGGAAGCGCTATTTCCAACGTACATCAGTTTCCAATGTGGACTAAAACAACGTTGGGAAAATCGCAAAAAAACAACTTTAGAGAACGAGGGATTGGGGGGTCGAAGTCACTCATATTTTTCAATTTCGTTGTCATGTCCTGACTGTCATGCGGAATTTCCAATTTGTTCCAATACCACAGGGGCATTATCAAATTTTTATTCAATTTTTTTTAAGCTTTTAAGCTCACCTTTTAGAGAAATGATGATCCTTAGAGGAAATGATAATAGGTATATTTTCTTTAGCTTTTATACGACTATTATAACTTCAATCCACGTAGATTTCTATTACGACTCAATGCTGTTAGCTAACTTGTTAAAAAAAATTGCCACTCCTTCTGCTCTACCCTATAAACACCTACCCATATACCCTATAAATTCGGTAAATATGGTTACTTTGTTTGAAGATTCGTACTTTCTAATAAAAAAAAGAAAAGCTGCGATGAAGTTACGCATATACATAATACTCATCCTGCTTTTGTGACATATTGAATGAAATTTGTAGGTTTTGAATCCCGCATTATCGGCTTCTGCGTCTGGAGCGGTCCCGGCGATTGAAGTCACCAAAGATCGCTCCGTCGTAGACAGTTACTCGGAGGAGGAGTTCGACAAGGTACACAAATTTCGTAGTGTTTGCTTGCTCATTACGCAAATATCTGCTAGGCACATCTTTCAATACCGATGTTGTCTGCTGCAACGTATCACTTACGGCAACTACGTCTCCAGCATCATTCGAGATTTGCGAAGCACTTTATATACCGAAAAAAAGGCTAACATTAGTAATAAATTTTATTTCGAGAAAAAAGTCAAACTTTACCAAATCAAACTTTACCCAAGGCTGTTGATTTTCAGCATAACGAGCTCCGGCGACCGATATCGCCGGGGCTCCGGAGGGGCATGGGTCCGCGAGGTCGAGGAGCGGGGATAATGATGGGCCATAGCGGCCCTACGGGTGGACAACGAAGTCGGTGGTTTATGGCGCTATTCGATTACAACCCCCTGACGATGTCGCCCAATCCAGATGCTGCACATGAGGAATTGCCCTTCAAGGAGGGTCAAGTAATTCGGGTAAGTTTTTCATTACATAAAGATGTTGCCGTTCGTATGAGCTTCTAGAAATCATTTCAAGATTTTGCTACAGTTATATTTTTATTTATATAGCCGTGTATCAGTAATATACGCTATGTTACATATATATATATATAAAGTTCTTAAAGGTAAGTGATTTAGGTTATTGCACGCTTAGAAACTGTTCTTATATTTTACACAGTACTACAGTTGAAATCATTCAAAACTCGATATGTGGCACATTACACATCTTCCGTTCGTAGCTAGATTTGTCGTGCATGTTTTGCCCCCAACGTAACTGTGTATTTCCAAGTGACAAAGCGTTCAAAATATCTAAGCTGGAAAATTATTTTATAGAGCTCACTGCACTTTCGACTATCTCAAAATGTCTATTTGTCGTTCACTGCCTCACAGGTTTACGGCGAGAAAGATAACGACGGCTTCTATCGCGGAGAATTAAATGGGCGAATGGGGTTAGTTCCCTGCAATATGGTGTCCGAGGTCCAGGGCCCGTACGCAGGCGGGCAATCAGGTCAAAGCCGGCCGCACTTCCAACAGCTCAGTCAAGCGCACAATCGACCACCTGGAGGCCAAGGACCACGCCGGAGGATGATAGCACTTTACGATTATGACCCATCGGTAAGAAACGTGACTCTGTTTACTCCATCCCCTCCATCGTTTTTTGGGAATTCGCGATTATCTTTTGAAAAAATGGTTTAAAATGCATTATTTCATCGACCTTGTCGGTAAATCTGCTATTTCCAAAAGATGTCTGCTAACCACAATGACACGAGACCCAAATTGAACTTTCATTGCAAGCATCTTTCCCTATATACACATTTTCTTGATTGCAAATTAACGTTGTTTCACTCTCACGCGTGGTAGTTGTCACCAAACGCGGATGCTGAAATGGAGTTGTCATTCAAAACGGGTGATATTCTCGTTGTTCTTGGTGACATGGACGAAGACGGCTTCTACATGGCCGAACTTAGAGGCGTCCGGGGTCTTGTGCCATCGAATTTCCTCGCAGATCCACCACCTAATTACCCTGACCAAAGAGGCGGTATGGGGCCACCAATGCGAGGCCCACCGAGGAGCGGACACATGAGCCATGGCGGGCCTCAATATCACAGTCAACATCCACCATCCGGTCACCCTGAACATGATACGCATGGTCGGCAAGGTGATCCCATGCACGAAGGTGATCTTTATTACGATTCGCGGCGAGGACCTCCACGAGGACCAAGTGATTACCAGGGAGGTGGAGGGCCTTTTCCTCCACGACCCAACCCTGGTGGATCCCAGCAGGTACAAGGTTCTCAAGGTCCACCGGGACAAGCGAGTCAAGGCGGTCAGGGCGGTTACGGGTATAACGCAAACAATACTGGCGGTCCAGTAGCACACCGAGACCCACAAGGCTACAGAGATTCTAGGGATTCCGGAGGACAGAACATGCAAGGACAACGGCCTCAACACGGTCTGTTCCTATGTCTTCTATATTTCACAGATAGGTCATCTTATCAGTTCGTAATTGGATCGATAGCCAGCCTTGACGGGGCAATCTTTATTGGGAATATGTCTATTATAAATATGTGGATAAACACATAGTAAACGACAATCTATAAAAAAAAAAAAGCTTGTTTTTTTCATATTCACATTGATGCCGTTAGTAATTCGTCAAATAAGTTCGCCGAAATCCGCAACAGGAGCATCAAAAAATTTAAAAAACACAACTTCAATGTAAGAGGGGCCGACTTTTGGATTATATACGTTGCGAATTTTGCGGCTCCTATTGGAAAGCGCTAAAGCAAATTAAAGAATACGTAAAGCAGATTTGTTGATTTCTCTAACGAAAGCATGTACACCATTCTTTTGAACACAACAAAGTAAATGAAAAGCTTGGTATTGATAAAGTTTTGATTGATAAACGCGATGCGTCGGGTCTCACAATCATCCAGTCAATCACTTTCGATCGGTCGCTGTTCTGTACGATCATCTATGTTGTTTGTTTTTTCCAAAGCACTCCGTATAATGAATATACGATCTTTCTTTAATACGTGAATAGTCAAAAATAACACGAGTGCGTTTTCTCCTGTTGTTTGCATTGGATCGTCTTTAGGTAGAGGCAGTATGGACCCAGAAATGGCCCACCGAGTTGAGTCCCATCCTCAGCCCCAACCGCAATGGTGAGCGCTAATCCCCAGACCACAACGTGCAACTGCCGCTTTGCCTATAAATGTGACGAAGGCGAGCATCGCACCTTCATTTATCTCGACGCCTGCAAAAGTGAAAGCATCCGAAGATAATCTTATGCTTCCAACTGAGGACGATACATCCCTAGGGAATGTTTTGGGTCGCTTGATAGCTCTTTGTGAGGCAACACCAAGAAAAAAGGAGACACTAGGACCGAAAAAAAGTGGCGGCTATTGGAGGTCTTGGTCCGAGAACCTGCTACTACAGGCTTTCCTGACCGATACTAAGCGAGCGAGTTTAAGTGATTTTCTGCACTTTCTGATATGACGACGAAAAAAGTTTAGGAGAAGTAACACAAAACAAAGAAAGAGACAGAGAGAGAGAGAGAGAGAGAGAGAGAGAGAGAGAGCGAGCGATAGAGAGACAAATACGAAAAGATTTAATGAAATGAAGATAAAAACCGACTGGAACAGTTAATATTAGTACGAAATGGATATGAAAAGACAGATAGAAAAAAATGACGATAAAGTGTTGAGTAACTTATAATTCACGACTGCTGATTGACTGCCTTGTTTAGACGTGACCGCGAGCAAGGAACTTCGGTCGCATGTTTCATGAGGTATTGTTTATTATAATTATTCTTATTAATAACACTACGATGATGATGATGATATCCATTGTTATTATTACGGTAAAACTATTATTACAATTGAAAGTTAGAACTACAATAAACGACGTAGTAAACTGTAATAATAGTAACGATTATAGTAATAAGAAGATCAATCACTCTAATCACTGTAGTGATGATAATGATAATATTAGCACATCGTAATTTGTTTATGAAGGCCGTCGTCGACTAACTGATTGAAAACACGAAATTGAGCGGTGGAGGAAAAATAGCAACCGTTCATCGTTCTACACATCCTACACAATAACGGTATATATACATATATACAATGAGGTAAAATATACAATACAACCAGCCAACCTTGTACCCCGTAACATATTTTACCATCCCAAAAATATTTCCGTTAATCTTGAGCGTCAGTGATGGCTACCTCATTACAATTACACCATGACTTAGGAGCCAAAAAGGGTGAAAAAAAAAAGCAAGTTAGGGTAAAAAATTACGTTAAGAAAGGGCGGATACAAGGCGTACATTACGTATTTCAGACGAAAAACGTTCTAGGCCGAAATAGCCTCACCTAACAAGATAGCGAAACAACTTGAACATAATGCTTATGCGTTACCTATTATATTGACGACACAGTAAGCTACCAGCCGATAAAGAACCTAAACGCAGCACAATTTGCTATGAATGGCGCAGGTTGACCTATTCTTGGTAGATTTTCAGCCGTGTTTTTGGTTCGCCTTATTCGACACCGACTTTTTTGTTTAATCGACCTGCCGTTGCGCTGAAACTGTGGACTCTAATAGTAACGTTATCAAACTAGAAATAAGAAAAAGTAAACTATATGAAATAATATACAAAGAAATTATTTAATTGAATTTAAACGATCATTATTAAAACTAGTACAATCATGTAATGATTAGAAATTCGCTGCTTCGAGTGTCTTAAAATCCTAGTTTTTATCATTGTGATGAACAGGGGTTTTGGCTGCCCATCAAAAAGGTACCCTGTTGTTGTTTTTAAAAAAAAATTCTAAGAACCATACACCGTTCTAAATTCGAAGGTGTTAATCTATTCATAAGTAATAATAATAAGCAGGTAGTATAAAGATCATCGCCCTATCAACGGGGTGTGACAATGAGCTTGGTTAAAGACTATTGAGTCAACAGCTAAATCTATTTAATGGACTTCCTATGATTGCCCATCATTAGTTAACTTTGATTGTTTTGTCTTCCGAGATTTCCTGCAAAACCCGCATTCAGTCAGGCATAGATTGGTATCAATGGCCTTATTGATCTTGCGCCAATAACGCCTGTATGCGTGTCTCAATACTGACGGATTAATTTAGTATATCAACAGATTGCTTCGTAATCATTAAGACTGTAGCCAAAATGTTTCGGTAACCATGTCCCGCTTTCGCTATGCCTAGAAGGCATTCACGCGGTAGCCTTTGGCCGAGCTACTAATTAGGTGTAAACTATCAGATGATCAAGTCAACCCTAATGCCCATGTATCGACACTACGCTGACGTGGGGGCGTCCGAACTTGCAAACCAAAAGCACCCGATGCACCAACTTTACCTCATATGAACACACAGACTATTCGAATCAGATCATAGGACCTAAAACTACGAAACTTGCGTATATACAGATGAGTATTCCTGCGTGATCAACTTCTCATGAAAAATTAATGATATCGGGAGAAAGGGCCGCCTAGGCTATATTTCCTGCTAAGTTTAAGATAATTACGTGACATACGCAAAGCCCGCGAAATCGATAGATGTTTTCAAGGATCTCAGCCATCTCACGTATTGAAATAGAAAGCTGCATAGATAGCTGGTACTGGCACGTATCTTATACGTACACATTGAATTAGGCTAGCCGATGTGGAATCTCTCACAGCTTCAAAAAATCTTGTTTCGAAAAAAACAAGCCGCCATGCTTACTTCTTAGCTTATTTTTAAATTTTCATAATTAACGCTTTTACCGGCGGCGGAACGATGAATCTCATAGGGCATTTGCATGTGCGTTTTCTTATTGGAGCCATCTCTATATACAATGTGTCATTAGAAATCCTCCCAACCAAGGTTCGATGACTAAACAGAGAATAGAAATAAAGTAATTAGACTACTTTTTCATAAAGTAGTGTATAATATCACACGTATATGTGATGCAAATCACCCACTAGGCTATATATAAATTAATATTAAAAAAAATGTTACTTATGTATATATGTAATCTTTAAATTTCGAGTTTTACGTTTATCGCCATCGCCATAAGGCATTCTGCCTTCTAGTGCGAAACGAAATCTGTCTGTCTGTCTATGCCCGAATTTGTCCCTAGGACAACGTGTCCCTAGGATTATCATGCAACTACGCTACCCACTAATCTATGACGGCAATCAAACTTTCTAACATTTATAGTAGTAGTTCAGCCACAAAGGAGTTTTTCCTCGCTAAGCAATGCATAGAAAGCTTGTAAGACTATTATGTTCATATCGAGAAAAACAACTGCATAGCTCACTCATTACCACTTGTTTTTTGGAAGTTGTGCAGTTATAAGGACGCTTGCCTTAGAAAAATCGACAACAGAAATTATCTAAGTACTATATTATACTATAATTATATGCCGTACTTATACGGCATTTGCGCGGTTTTTTGCCAGGGTATTCACACTGATTTTGTTACTATTACGAATAATGAGAGCGATTCGTTCGGCAGCGGTTTGTATAGGAAGCTCCGTTGTGCGCAATTTTCTTATGCTCACGGAATAAGTCGGTGGTTTGGCATACGAGACAAGTTGAGGAAAAGAGTAAGCCGGGCTATTTCTTACATAAATGGAACGGTTTGTGTATACGAAGTCTCTGTTCTACGTGTCTGCGATTGACAAGACACTACTGTATTGAACCTTTGATGTCTGGGGCCCACCACTTCCGTATTCGTGAACATAAGAAATATATAGGGGAGATGGCAAACGGGTACAATGAAATGATTTAGTCTTCAGGAAAACAAGGTTTTACTTTATGAATTTTCTACGTTTTATGTTGTTATTGCCCTGCTGCAACCATATCCTAGCATTGTTGCCATCATCGTCGTCGATGTTGCTACTGTTCAAGTTTGCTTACGCATCGCGCTGTTCATCGGACTGTAAAGTCACCCGAAAAGAAAATTGTTTGGAAAAATCGATGCATAAAGAACGTTTTTCGAACGTCTAATACCGCCTCTGTACAATTACTAACTACCTTCCCCTAATGGAGCCGCCGTGTCCGAAGTGAACAAATCCCGGGATGAATGGGAAATCGATCGAGATCGGGAGAAGAAGAACGTGCAGAAACAGTAAACAATACCGATGAACTGAAACAAACTAACAAAAACTGACGGGAAAAAAGCCAAAGCCGAGCAAATCGTACCCTCATAAGCACATATATTACATGAACATGTGTACACACCGTACCAATTCCCACGAGTCCTAAAACTGAGACCGAATAAGTGTGTCTTTCCCTCCAAATACTGCTATTTCCCGGCACTGTTTTCGACTGAGCCTTCACCATCTAACTGAACTGGACAGAGTCTTATGAACTCGGACCCACGAGTATTGCGTATACCACGACCGCCATCAACAACGTTATAAACGAACAACAACAGCAAAACAATGGAAACCAACAAAAACAAATCGTCGATGATTGATTAAGTAACTTAGGAAATTAATTGATTATTAAGTTACCTGAGACCTTCTGCTGTAAATATAGGTTGGCTGATGATATATATTCATTGTACACCTAAGCTTTGTTCTTCCACAGGAGCACTTGGTGTTTCTTTGGTTACAGTTTTCTTTCCATCCAAATGCCCCCATTGCAGACGTGGTCCCTTCTAGCGAGATGATAAGCATAAGCAAATGCGTATATATCGATGAGCTAAACCCTATTTGATGGGTTGTACAAGAACAGAAGGATGGACATAAAGAGAAAATATAGTTACGGCGTACGCCTATATGCATCTGTGTTGTTTTTAACTGTGCGTGCTACTGCGATGATGAAACCAGATTAGGGTTTCGCCAAATCCACTAATAACTATAGGAATATTAACGGATGAACTGAAGCTTGAGACGCATCCAACTTTGGACGAGAATCAGATCAATTTATAGTAGAACAACTCGACGAACAGAGAAAAATCTAAAGGACCGTGATTTAAGATGAAATCTAAATGAGAGAAAAATAGCCCAGAAGACGAGACCACAGACATAACTCCCAAAATATCTTACTACGAATAAATTACGCATTTGAACTAACCAAAATTAACATCTAAACAAAAGATCGAACTTTAATTGTGAGTAGCAAAATCTATTACACAGTACAAAAACCACATCAACAACCCAATAATTGATAAAATAATTAATATGATCATAAAAAATGCACAATGTATCAACAGCAAATCACATCACTATGACTTGTCAACACCTCTGAATATTACTCGTGAATAATAATAGAAGATTAAGAAGAAATAGCTGGTTGTGGGTAAACAAACGATACAATAGGTCAATGAGGGGCTAAAAAATAATAACAATGGATAGGTGGAACTACGATAATAACAAAAATATTCATACATAGTTATTACAATGGGTACAATATGAGTGCGTACGTAGTGACGAATGATTAAATGAGCAAAGCATGTAAAATAAACGGATATAATCGACTGACAAATATATAGGTATAAAAATAATATTAATTGACAGATCGGTCAATTGATGCCTGATGCGATGACTGATGGCGATAATCATGCTTACATTACACAAACATACACATACATACAAACAAACACATATACACGAACAAATACTGCTTATTCTTCCGATTCCAACCCCCAGCAATAGCAAACACAAAAATATTAAAACAATAGAAATAGTAGTCATAGTCTTTGTAAAGCAAGCACAGCAGCATCATTCTTAATCCGAGTTTTGCCTAACACTGCCCATCGCAGCCCTTGAAGTTCCCTTCTCCATTACCCGCATTCTACTACGAGTTACTACAACTACTAATGTCTGGAAGAGAGCACATACATAGAATATATGTCCTATAATATTTATTACGTCTCGATGATGGTAATAATAATAGTAATTATATACTTTACCGAAAGCGATTGTTAGCACTAGCGTATACAGGAACACTAGACATATACGCGTTAGCTTCTTTACACCCCTTACACGAGAGACAAACATCAGATCTCTGTGTCAGCCTCCGTCAGTTGCACAAGGAAGCGCCTGTGAATCCCTGCACACAGACGAAAAACGTTTCGTCCGAAATAGCGAGTAGACAACCGATCGAACGGCGCCGACTAGCCTGCATCTACGTAGGGAATACGCTCAGGCGGCAAGGTCGATACCGAATAGCTATGTGTCGTGCGTCTGTTCTGCGAAAGTCAACTATGGCATATTATTATGCTTGTAACTACTACACCATAATTATCACTAGAAGTGTCAAAGCCATTTCCCACGTTACATTACACTCTCGTATCAGAAGCTGTAGAAAAACTACTGAGTTGTGCGTCTCTTTTTTGCATCCCGTTTGGTTTCCTAGCGCCTCTGTGTACGTATCGTTTGTATCGAGCAGTATGTATGCATAACAATAATAATCCTAACTGCAACATCGCCACAAAGGAGACCATCGACCATCGTATCATGTATCTGAAGACGATGACCATATATATATATATATATATATATATATATATATATATATATATATAGATAACAAGTAGCTATTAATGGTATACTTATTATTATGATAGAATAATAATGAATGATGAAACAAATGGTAACAACAATAACAACAAGCTTACAACACAACACCTTGAACATGAGGCCCTAACATGCTTTTCCATTTCCTGGAACATTCTTCACCTGAAAGCAAGACCTGATGGCCTGCACTCTCTATAATACAGCGCATGTTGATGTTGTTTCCGGTTCCACCATGGTGCATTAGCTAAAGCTATACCGAAATATCATACGCATTCAATTCGCCAAAGCGTCCCATGCGATAATAATCCGTGCAACTAAGAGGGTTTCGTGCAGAGAGAAAGATAAACCTGAGAGTGCTTTTACTGGCAGACTACAGACAAAAGAAAAGCACTGCTAACGTCCACATACTTCGGGAATAGCTTGCATTGAGGATTTTATAGCAATCGTTTTTTTTTACTGCTTTTTGAAAAGCGAATACTCCTTGGATGATACACGAATTGCCTACGACAAAGAAAGCTGCTGAATGGAAAGCAGAATCTACCAAAATTGCATTTTCAATTAACATTAATATGGATACTTATTGCCTAGGGGTAAGTTTATATATCTATATGATCACACATGTTTGTTAAAGTTTCTAAGCATTTGCTACGTGGACTCCCTGCAGAAGGGCTGATAGTTTCTTGCTAGGTAAAATGATCGCCAAGGCATAGAACAGTATCGAAAAAATCGATTCTTTACTTCATACATCATTACCCTAAAAGGTAAAAGGCTGTCGCTCGCAGGTTGGTGATGGATGTGTAATCCCTGGGACGCAGTCAACGTTGATCTTTTGTTTCTTAGTATATTCGTATGGCTCGTGTTTCCGAAGCGCTCTTCAGCTTCCGGTGGAACATAAGTCGTATCTCCATAACCATATCTCATTCAGCTGACAGCTAAAACACTGTTGTTATCGCCCGCCCTTCCGTAACGTTGTAGCAGCAGCAAACTCCCGGATAGTAAATACTTATTCTCTGAGCGCATTGACACACCTTTAATGCACACTGCCATTCAAGCGAGTCAATAAGTAATGAAACCTCTGGGCAGATGTCGTTATAGGTTTCTTCCATGTTAGACACTATGACGATAATAGTTACCATTATTGTTGCTACTGATATTATGATGATAATTATCACCAAGAATAAACTTGGATATCGAAGTAACAACAACGGCAACAATAATAATAATACGACTAGTGAGGCGGTAAAAGTTGTTGGTAGTATCAAAACGATACGTTGTAATTATAGTCTAATAAGAATATAAAATCTTATAGGTACTTCATTACCAATTATATCACGAAGCCATCTGTCCGAGAATGCTTACTATAATGGTAATTTTATTATATGATTTTAACGAAAATGTTAATGTAGGTCGTTTGGGTTGTGGGTGAGCATCTGGGAAGTATAATGCTCCAGGAAGAAATGACACTTGCGTACACAGTGACATCAAACAGTTTTCTGCCTTGCGCTACTATACGATATCCTCTGCAACTGTTGCTTATGCGTTTCTGCTCCGCTAGATTGGCTGGGAGGCGCAGCCGGACTATTTCATTCTTTTCTAGACGAAACTTAAATGCAGGGACCTAATATTCGACGCGGACACCCTCGGCACGCTGTCTTCGAATTGAGTGTGTACAATATTTAGCCATTATATTCGATACCGAATGCTTCACTTATAACGATTTCTCTTGGTCGATCGGCTAGCTTGATGTTTTTTCTTTATTTGCAGGAACAAATTCAAATTAAGCCGCGTCTTTCTATTTGCCAGACGACAACACTATTATAGCCATAAAAATAAACAAATGGATATCATAGATGATGGTGTAACACATGCCGTTTCCGTATTTCCTCGACGAGAATATAGAAAACAATTCGATAAAATATCACACGTCATATAACGCTCTCACATTCATTACGTATTTCTATAATTGTCACCTTCGAGCCGGGCAAGTAAAATAATAACAATTTAAACGATAGCAGTTGTTACTGCGATAGCAGCAGTTGATGACATTTCCATAATTCGATGATCTTCGTTAGTTCGTTAGCAAATTTGCTTACTAAACTACTGAAAATTTGATTGATTAAAGTATGCTATTGGCGTAAAGGGATTCCGATTAAATTCGGTTCATTTGTTTTTCATTTATCAATATTCTCATATTTACCCACCAAACGGCGTCTATTGTTTACATTGAACATTCTCCACAACAAAGTTAATCACAAGATTAATCTTGTGGTGCATTTATTTTTCGATGAGTTTACTAATTCCGTATCATCACTGGAGTGCCTACAAGATAAAGAAGAATTTGCTTTTTTCATTTATAGACCTATGTGCGCCTCGAATATTAATTTTTAGCACTCTTCAGCCGAGCATCAAACGATTTCTATTCCATTAAAACTCTCCACTCGTTCTTTCAAAGAGGGGATCCTGTTTATTTTTTAGGCCTCGCTTTTTCTATTTGTCTCCTTTATTGATAATGGCCATCCAAGCGTAAGGGCACTAATGTTGCGTTATTGTACTGGCTGAAGCGGATATCAAAAAATCGGCTGCGGTTCTTTTCTGACGGTCTCTTCAACTCACCAGGTTCCTGTCAAGCTGACCAAGCGGTAACAGAGAAGTGAGAACCTCGCATAGGAGATTCATGGCCATCTGCATTTTCCGAACGAAGATTACATTTATTGCACAAACGGCTGTAAGGTTAGTTTCGAATGGATACTGTCGCCTACAACAGAAGACAAACTAACAGTAATAATTTAGTCTAAATATATATAAAAAATATAAAGCATTCGAATGTCTAACGTACGGGTGGGGGGTTGACGCAATGAAGACGTAGAATATCAGAGCGTGGTTGGCCAGTTCCATACAACAGCTCTAATACAAGCGGTCGTTAACAATAATATAGAGATCATATAATGATAGCGACAATGAGGTGAAAACGGAGTTTTGGTGATGAAAAATGATGATTACATTGACGATAGCCGATTCTATAAAGAGTGATGAGAGAAGACGACGAAGGAAGCTTCTTGGTGGTTGTTTTTGTATAATCCTCACACACAGCTGACCATATAGCTGTCTCCCTGCTTACCGCAGTAACCATAACAAATAACTCATGTAGCAATTAAGGCTTATCTTACTTAAAATCATAATAATAATAATAATAATGAAGATAATAAATTAACGGTGAACAACGAGAATATCGCCTGTTTTTAGTTGTATCATGTGAGGCTAGGCGTAAAGCACACTAATTGAATAATTGCAAAAATAGATTAGGTTGGATAGGGTAATTGCAACGAAATAATTCGTGTATATGAAGTACTAACCTAGGCTAGGTGTGACAATAAATTAAGTTAGTTGAATCAACTTGGAAATAGGCGCTCAACGAAGCCCACGGATAATTCTACGAGTAGCAGCATAACAATTTATGTTAACCGGCTGAGTGTAATACGGACTAAATAGCAGAATCGGCAGATTTGATCACTGTAGCCTGGCAGCAGGACTGCTGAAATGATGAGGAAATATACACAGTGCATCAACTTCAACTAGGGTCTTATGCAGCAATTAATTCAGTTGTCTACAGTTAAAGGGCAGCGGTCCTATCTCAGACTGAGATTCAGTAACGTAATCCAAAACGCGATGACGCCGGTAAGTTCCTTTAGTGCCTCCTATTCTGTCAATCTCTATTTATTCAGTTGATTTGAATCGAGCTCCGCGTCTTTCTACTGGACAATCGTTACCCTTCTCCAGCATGTGACAACCGAATATACTGCGCTTGCAACAGAATCGGCTCGATACATCTATAAATGCATTTTGTTACCCCTATTGGTTCGACTTTACGTCACAACCACCGTTATATAAATAAAGGCAAGCGCATGTGGGAAAATTACGCTCAATTGAGCCGAACAATTCGGTTGAGTGCTGTGTATCATGGTACGAAGGCATAGCATGAGTAAGATGTAGTAAGAGTTGAACGTAGATAAAGACTATTACAAGCTACCAAAAAAAAAATTCGAAAAGCAAAGAAAGTTTGTTCTGATAGACTATGTTTAGATTCACAGAATATCGTAATGAAAACAACCGGGACCTAATTGAGCCATCTGCTAAATGGTTTGTCATAAGCTATTGTCAAGTCTATGTTTTTTTTGTGACATTTCATGTTTTTAATTCACTAAAAGGATGCCAGCCAAGAGCTTAGACGTTTAGCTGTACAAAAGCGCCGTCATTACCCCACGCCACCGCGGGCGAACTCACTCTCCAGAAAGAAGAGCAAAGGCCCGTACAGAGGCCACAGCTCAGCAAACTGTCGTGCAGTATCGTCTACTGAAGCAACAAGCAATGGATTCATGTCTGCAATTAGTTCAGGAACATCTTAAGCCTCTAGCTAGATTTCACATCAGATCAACTGTGGCGAAAATAACGATCGTAGCTTTTCTTTACAACGGTCTCCATCCAAAACGAGCGATGTTTACGACTAGCCCCTCGAATGGCAACAGCTGTTTCTACTTTAGCCAAATCAGGCCCGTATCAGTCAACACGGCCTACTTCGATTGAAACTCTTGAAGATCCTTAAAGCAACATTTTAGAAAGAAGAAAAGAGAAAAAAGCATTTCTTACAATCGGAATCGAACAAATACCGCTATCTAAGTTACGTCAAGTGAAAATTTACCTTAGATAGAAGAGTACAAAGCAGAAACAAATTCAATTTACCTCAAATAACGATTATAAGTCCTTAGAGTTGAGTTAAGCTTCCAACAATCATCTTGAAGCGTATGAATTGACTTGTGAATGTTTCTTCATCGAAATTAAGCGTGTAAGACGACTATATTTTAGATTACCTTTTTCGTGATGGCATTAAGTTTGGGCGCATTTCGAGGTAGTGTTCATTGAAACCCTCACTATAACGGCACTAGAACGTATCTATAAGGCTTAGTGTCACGGGTTGCATTCGCTGAGAAGCTTTTATTGCAATAGCGAGTT